TCTTCTTCTTCTTCTTCTTCTTCTTCTTCTTCTTCTTCTTCTTCTTCTTCTTCTTCTTCTTCTTCTTCTTCTTCTTCCTCCTCCTCCTCCTCCTCCTCCCTCTCCTCCTCCGCCTCCTCCTCCTCCCCCTCTTCTTCTTCTTCTTCTTCTTCTTCTTCTTCTTCTTCTTCTTCTTCTTCGTCGTCGTCGTCGTCGTCGTCGCCGTCTTCTTCTTCTTGCTCTTCTTCTTCTTGCACTATTTTACTTGTGATGTGGCGGTGCACTCCATGAGTGACTGTTGGTCTCATTGTCGTTTCATCATTGTATGAGAAAAGAACATAGCAGCTTGGAGGCTTTGTGAATGACCATGAATGTGTGGAGACAATCTTTTGTGAACTGTTTTTGCCTTTTATGCAGGGTCTCATGTCCTCGCTGGTTCAAGGCTTTGCCATCAAACCGCTAGTCAACCGCTTTCAGGTCAGGTAGTATTCTACTCTCTCAACACGGCATCCATCGGTGTCTCCTCTGTGACCCATCAAACCCCAACCCCCTCCCCCCCCAACCTCTGGCCAAGCCCCTGCCAACCCCCGGCCACCCCCCCATCACGCCCCGCCAACCCCTTGCCAACCCCTTGCCAACCCCCTACCGACCCTCTCCAACTTCCCACCAGCCCCACACCAGTCCCCACCAACGTCCTACCCCTACCCGTCCCCCTCCACCAACCCCCCAACAAAGCCTCACCGGTTCCCACCATTGACCCCCCACCAATCCCCTGCCAACCCCCAACCCCCTTCGATTCACTTTTCTTTCTTCGCCTTCGCCGAAAATAACCCTTCTTGTGTCCCAATTCTGTTCCACATTGCTCTTTTCCTCTATGAATTAATAGATTCCGCAGGAAACGAGGAGTGGCAAGAGAGGGGAGGGGAGGGGAGGGTAAGGGAGGGGAGGGGTGTAACGCGGAGGAGGGTTAGACCACCAGTACATGGCCCCAGCCTCGTAGAAAATGCCAAGCTGGCAACTCCAAATTTTTTGCGCCTCGGGGCTACTGGACTGCAATGGCTGTTGGCGCCCAGCCGAGAAAAGAAGTGCGCTGCTCACAGTTCACAAAAGCTTGGCGTGCAGCGCAGCGCCTCCAGGCCCAGGTGTTCTGGTGGTTTTAAGGGGGGATAGAGTACAACATTGGGGATGATCTCCTTCGATTACTCTCACAGTCTGACTTCAATGGGTTGCCTGACGTTCTGCACCCTCTCCGTTGAGCATTTGATCTCATTTCCTTCGGGTTCAGTGTTCCATGGCATTCACCCATCCACCCCCCCCCTTACCCTACTTGCAAATGTCTTGGGCCGTCTGATTGGTTGCTTTCAAAATTCAAATCCTTTTTTTCTTTTTTTCTTTTTCCGTGTTCCCTCACTCGCTCACCTCCCACTTGCTGTGTGCCCTCGTGGGGTAGATGACCGTTTGATTGACTCTTAATTTCTTTTTTGTTGCCGCTGCATGCAGTCACATGGGAGACTCCTACTGTCTTAACGCGGAAAAAATATACGTACGTTCTATATTCAACTTACCTCGAAAAAACGGGTTCTCCGAAATCGCTGATTTTTTTTTGCGAATAATAAAATGTACTGTCGAATATTTGCGTTTTTTCAAATTTTAAAATTTGGAAAAACTCGAAAAAATCCGAGAAAAAGAAAGTTGTAAAACATTTCAATACAAACAACTTTTGCTGGAGGGCCATGCGGAAAGTCATGACCAAATTCAATAAAAAATTGAAAACAAGAATAAAAATAATAAAATATATTTTATTTTCAGGGAATTTTTATAATTTTTGAAGTGTTTTCTGATTCCTTAAGAATTTCGAGTAAAAAAAAAACCCGGAAAATCCGGAAAAAAAAACTATGCTGTACAAAATTGCAATACGAACAACTTTTGCCCGAGTGTAAGGAATATGAGCGAGAGCCATAGACAGAAAACCAAGTGGCAAAATCATGAAGAAGCTCAGATAGTCATGAACCAAGCAGAGAGTGCAATGCACCAAGATACCATCCAATTAAGAGCAATACAATGAATGAACTCGCATGTCAATGTCGCCACTCTCTGGTCACACCAACACGGTATCCAGTGTCGCACTTACAGTCCGGCGCCCAGCGCCCAGCCCCCCCTACTCAGCATATCTAGCCTGTCTACTTTCTTGCAACATGACCACATCGAAGTCAAAGACCAATGTACATGACGTCAACACCAATGCCGACCACCACATACATCAGGTATGTTCTCTCTCTCTCTCTCTCTCTCTCTCTCTCTCTCTCTCTCTCTCTCTCTCTCTCTCTCTCTCTCTCTCTCTCTCTCTCTCTCTCTCCTCTCTGCATGCACCTCCTACTTGAAGACCACCGTCGCCACCACTCGCACACGCATGCTCGGCCCGGCGGCCGCCATGCGGCCACTGCCACCGCAGTGCCCTCTTCACCGCTTAGCACCCATGCGTGCCCCAGCCGGCCTGCGTAACGCAGCTTCGCACGGCAATGCAGCAGCTTGGCCGCAATGCCTGCACAGGCCAGAATGCCCCAGCGCTGGGGCAGACTGTGCCCGTGTCTGGCTGGCCTGGCCAGGCGTGTTGGGGGGGGGGGGCAGTAGCTTCCCTCTGGCTGCAAGTATCTGCACCCAGGCCCAGTTTTCGATACTGCCCTGGGCCCCATGCAGTTAGGCACGTTTGGGCAGCCACCCAGCCTCCAAGTGTTTGCAGCATTCTCATTGGCTCGCGGCACATGTGTCATGACAATGCTGCTTCCTCATTGGCCCATAACCAGTCCGTGATGTGTCGGCCTCACACAGCTTGTGCCCAGGGCGCAACTGCCTGAGCCCTGGGCTCAACTGTACAGCGCAGCCCTTCGCTTCTGGAAAGAGCCTGGAAGGCTCACGTTGCTCTGTAACCAACTGGCGTTCTGCGACTGTCTGAATCCCCCACATATGAAAAAATGTTGAGAACAGGCCTCTCGTGGATATTCAGGCCCACTTTCACTTAGGGCGGGCACAGGCTTGAAAGGGCCGCAGCCCAGAACACTTGTATGTCTGCAAAGGGCTCTTCGAGGGCTCAATCCCCGCACGAGGGTCTTGGAGAAATTCTCAACCAAATTCGAGAAAAAAATAAATAAAAACGATGTCGACTCCTACAAAGTTGGACGCTAAAACTCGTTCTATAACGCGTATGTAAGTATGTTGCATTCAAAAAATTTCAAATTTCACAAATACAACGTAACCCGTACGTTGTATTCGTATACAACGTACGTACATTTTTCTGTCTGCAGGTTAAGACATTAGTCAAGGTAGGTGTGTGCGGAAAAAAAAAAAGAAAAAAAGAAAAAGAAAGAGTAGCTGTGTGCAGGTGGTGGTTCTTGTTGAGTGAGGGAAAGGAGTGACCTTCTACGAGCAGTGGATGAGAGGAGCAACAGAAGGTTTGACGATAATGAGAAAGGGATAAGACTCGTCTCATTTGAGTCATTGCATGTGATGTGGCAGTGGGTGGCATGCAATGAACGAGATTGGGCCTCGCTCCACTACACAACACTCTCTATATGTATCTGGATTCTGGAGGTAATAATCGTCCATTTGCAGTCAAAAATATGTTCGACGACTCCGAATGCAGGTGGTCCAAAAGCGCGTCGAATTGCATGTAGAATGTTGAGTAGTGGAGCGAGGCCGATTATCTGTCTGGAAGTCGTGGGCACAATCTCAGGACAGCAAGCTGCGAAGAGTCTCTGGCACAGCGGTTGGCTGTGACCAGTGCGGGACATGTGTGACATTGTGTGACACAGGTCTGTCTTGTTGTGGCATTGTGCGACCCTTGGATTACTGCTAATGCAGGATGAGCAGCTGATACTGACGGCGCAGCTGCTGCTTGGAATGGCATTCATGTTGTGCTCCATCAGCTTTAATGTGGTGAGTGTTGCTGATGGGCCCATTAAAAGCTGATGGGCCCTTTAAAGAGGGTAGCTAGCCCCTAAGGGCTTTAACCTTTTTTCTACTCCCTTGGCAATGGCGACATGTTGTTCTGTGCCGAGACTGTGTGTGTAGGCCCTCGCTCAGCTGTGATTTCATCACCACCATCTTCTTCTTGTGAATGCTCCCCCCCTCCCTCCTGCCCGTTGCTGGATGACTGTGTGATTTTGCTGCCATGCCGCGGCAGTGTTGCATACCCTGACGGTCAGTGGGCCTTGACTGGTCGGCACATACCGGTCCGGGGCTGTCGGCACCCCGTCCAGAACCCCTAATAACCCCACCAACACCCCCATACCGGCCCCCAATACCCCCATACACCCCCCCAACACCCCCAAAACGCCC